TTCTCAACAAAAACACATCAGGCCAGAAAAGAATGGACGGAAATTTACAAAGTGATGCAAAGCAAAGGACTGAATCCAAGAATACTCTATCCAGCAAGGCTATCATTCAAACTTGAAGGGGAAATAAGAAGCTTCACAGACAAAAAAAGGCTAAGGGAGTTTATCACCACCAAGCCAGCAATGCAAGGAATGCTAAAGGGACTGGTATAAAAATAAGAAATAAAAAGCTCAGAAAGAAAACAGCCACACAAAAACAGAAATGCCTACAAACAAGTACCTTTCAATAATAACTTTAAACGTAAACGGACTAAATGCTCCAAACAAAAGACATCGAGTGGCTGAATGGATAAAAAAACATGACCCATACATCTGCTGTCTACAAGAAACCCACCTCATTAGAAGGGACTCACACAGTCTGAAAGTGAAAGGATGGAAAAATATCTTTCAGGCAAATGGAAAGGAAAAGAAAGCTGGGGTAGCAATACTTATATCGGACAAAATAGACCTCAAAGTGAAGGCCATAACAAGAGATAAGGAAGGCCACTTCATAATACTAAAGGGATCAATACAACAAGAAGATATAACCCTGGTAAACATATATGCACCCAATGCAGGAGCACCCAAATTCATAAAAAAACTCCTGGAAGATATCAAAGGAGAGATCGACAACAATACAATCATAGTAGGGGACTTTAATACACCACTAACAGCACTGGATAAGTCCTATAGACAAACAATCAGCAAAGATACAGCAATCCTAAATGACTCACTAGATCAGATGGACTTAATAGACATCTTCAGAACACTTCACCCCAAAGCCAGGGAATATACGTTCTTCTCAAGTGCTCATGGGACATATTCAAAAATAGACCATATATTGGGTCACAAGCAAAGTATCCCCAAATTCAAGAAGATTGAAATCATAAAAAGCGTCTTTGCAGACCACGATGGCATAATATTAGAAATAAACTACAATAAAAACAACCCCAAATACTCAAACACCTGGAAGCTGAATAGCATGCTATTAAGTATTGATTGGGTTACCAATGAAATCAAAGAAGAAATTCGAAACATCCTGGAAACTAATGACAATGAAAACACAACAATCCAAAACCTATGGGACACAATGAAAGCAGTCCTGAGAGGGAAGTTTATAGCTCTACAGGCCTATCTCAACAAACAAGAAAAAATGGTAGTAAATCATCTAACTCTACAACTCAAAGAATTAGAAAGAGAGCAACAAGAAAACCCCAGAGTGAGCAGAAGGAAGGAGATAATAAAGATTAGAGCAGAAATAAATGACATAGAGACTAAAAAAACAATACAGAAAATCAATGAAACCAAGAGCTGGTTCTTTGAAAGGATAAACAAGATTGACAAACCTCTAGCCAGACTCACCAAGAAGCAAAGAGAGAGGACCCAAATAAACAAAATCAGAAACGATAGAGGCGAAATAACAACAGACCCCACAGAAATACAAATGATTGTTAAAAAATACTATGGACAGCTCTACTCCAACAAACTAGACAACCTGGAGGAAATGGACAAATTCCTAGAAAAATACAACATTCCAAAACTCAATCAGGAAGAATCTAAAAATCTCAACAGGCCAATAACTATGGAAGAAATTGAAGCAGTCATCAAAAAGCTTCCAGCAAACAAAAGCCCAGGACCAGACGGCTTCACAGGGGAGTTTTACCAAACATTCAAGGAAGAACTAAAACCTATCCTCCTCAGACTACTACAAAAAATTCAAGAGGAAGGAACACTTCCAAGCTCATTCTATGAAGCCAGCATCACCCTAATACCAAAACCAGGTAAAGACAACACAATGAAAGAGAATTACAGGCCAATATCCCTCATGAACATAGATGCCAAAATCCTCAACAAAATCTTAGCAAATCGGATCCAGCAGTACATCAGAAAGATCATACACCATGACCAAGTAGGATTTATCCCAGGGATGCAAGGATGGTACAATATCCGCAAATCAATAAACGTGATACATCACATAAACAAATTGAAAGAAAAAAACCACATGGTCATATCAATTGATGCAGAAAAAGCATTTGACAAAATTCAACACCCATTTTTGATAAAAGCTCTCAGCAAGGTGGGAGTAGAAGGATCATACCTCAACATAATAAAAGCCATATATGACAGGCCCACAGCCAACATCATACTCAATGGACAAAAACTAACACCATTTCCCCTAAGAACAGGAACAAGACAGGGATGCCCCCTCTCACCACTCCTGTTCAACATAGTACTGGAAGTGTTAGCCATTGCAATTCGGCAAGAAGAAGAAATAAAAGGCATCCAAATTGGAAAAGAGGAAGTAAAACTGTCCTTATTTGCAGACGACATGATATTATACATACAAAACCCTAGAGACTCCATCAAAAAGCTACTGGACTTAATACATGAATTTGGCAATGTAGCAGGATACAAAATTAACCCCAAGAAATCCGAGGCATTTCTATACACCAATAGTGAACTTTCAGAAAGAGAGATTATAAAAACAATCCCGTTTACCATCGCACCAAAAAAATTAAGCTACCTAGGAATAAACTTAACTAAAGAGGTAAAAGACCTCTACTCAGAAAACTACAGGACGTTGAAAAAAGATATAGAGGAAGACATAAACAGATGGAAGAACATACCGTGTTCATGGATTGGTAGAATCAACATCATTAAAATGTCCATACTACCCAAAGCAATCTATAAATTCAACGCACTTCCCATTAAAATACCAACGGCATACTTCAGAGATCTAGAACGAACTCTCCAAAAATTCATCTGGAATAAAAAAAGACCCCGAATAGCTGCAGCAATCCTGAAAAAGAACAAAGTAGGTGGGAATCTCAATACCAGATATCAAGTTGTATTACAAAGCCACTGTTCTCAAAACTGCCTGGTACTGGCACAAGAATAGGCATATAGATCAATGGAATAGAATAGAGAGCCCAGAAATCGGCCCGAACCAATATGCTCAATTAATATTTGACAAAGGAGGCAAGAACATACAATGGAGCCAAGATAGTCTCTTCAATAAATGGTGTTGGGAAAATTGGACAGATATATGCAATAAAATGAAACTAGACCACCAACTTACACCATACACAAAAATAAACTCAAAATGGATAAAGGACTTAAACGTACCACAGGAAACCATAAAAATTTTAGAAGAATCCAAAGGCAACAAAATCTCAGACATATGCCGAAGCAATTTCTTCACTGATACAGCTCCTAGGGCACTTGAAACTAAAGAGAAAATGAACAAATGGGACTACATCAAAATAAAAAGCTTCTGCACAGCAAAAGAAACCATCAACAAAACAACGAGAAAACCCACTGTGTGGGAAAACATATTTGCCAATGTCATATCTGATAAGGGCCTAATCTCCAAAATTTATAGGGAACTCATACAACTTAACAAAAGGAAGATAAACAATCCAATCAAAAAATGGGCAAAGGACCTAAATAGACACCTTTCAAAAGAGGACATTCAGAAAGCCAAGAGACATATGAGGACATGCTCAAAGTCACTAATCATCCGAGAGATGCAAATCAAAACAACAATGAGGTACCATCTCACACCTGTCAGACTGGCTATCATCAACAAATCAACAAACGACAAGTGCTGGAGAGGATGTGGAGAAAAAGGAACACTTGTGCACTGCTGGTGGGAATGCAGACTGGTGCAGCCACTATGGAAGACAGTATGGAGTTTCCTTAAAAAACTGAAAATGGAACTCCCATTTGACCCTGTGATCCCACTTCTAGGAATATATCCCAAGAAACCAGAAACACCAATCAGAAAGGATATATGCACCCCCATGTTCATAGCAGCACAATTCACCATAGCTAAGATCTGGAAACAGCCTAAGTGCCCATCAGTAGATGAATGGATTAGAAAACTGTGGTACATCTACACGATGGAATACTATGCTGCTCTAAAAAGGAAGGAACTCTTACCATTTGCAACGTCATGGATGGAACTGGAGAGCATTATGCTAAGTGAAATAAGCCAGTCAATGAAGGAAAAATACCACATGATCTCACTCATTCATGGATAATAGAGACCATTATAAACTTTTGAACAATAATAGATACAGAGGCAGAGCTGCCTCAAACAGATTGTCAAACTGCAGCAGGAAGGCCGGGGAGGGTTGGGGGGCAGGAGGTAGGGGGGTAAGAGATCAACTAAAGGACTTGTATGCATGCATATAAGCATAACCAGTGGACATAAGACATTGGGAGATAGGGGAGGCTAGGGGACTGTCTAGGGCGGGGGGATAAAATGGACACATATGTAATACCCTTTGTAATACTTTAAGCAATAAAAAAAAAAAAAAATATATAAGACCTCAAGATGATAAATTAATGTCCTCCACAATACCAGCCAATAATTTGTGTACCAGGTTTATTCCTACACCCATAATTATCCTGTCTGAATGGTTAGCTGAGCACTGCTCAATTACTTTTAGATTTCATACCTGTGGTTAAAAAATTAATATATGTACTCTTTATCACAGCATGCTTGACCTCGCATAGCTTGAAATAGACTCCATTAAAATGTACATTTTATGGTGTATTATATTCTCTCCCTAGGTATAAGTTTACACAGAAAATGTATTTATTTAATTCAGTCATTTAACAGCATAAGCAAAACACACAAACAACCCAGCATGCTGTAACAGAACACTGCTCTGCACATGGCCAGCTGTGCGTTGGCAGAACGCAGTGATTTTAAGGATGAATTAGTATTCTAATCTCTTTGGGATTTCTTTTATATTCGTGGTGGTTTATGACTGACGTTTAATGTAACTTTGGCTCTGTTTATACTTAATAGAAGATTCATTTCTGTGGCAGGATACACATTTACACTCCAGTGTTGGAATAAAAGCTACTGTTTTGCAAGAAGGAAATAAAACGTTGATTTATAATGACACATTCCGATAGCAGTGATCTAATTCTCCCCAACTATTTCTTCCCAGGTCCTGGGAACAGCACGGCTCCAGCAAAGGGTGACTCTTCTCTTCCAGAATATTCAGCCTTCAACACATCTGTCCATGCTGCAATTAGACACAAAAGCTGGAAACTCCTCACGGGCTACCCAGGTAGAATGCTCAGCACTCCCCTTAATGGAACAACTCATAACTCTGGGGCTGTTGAATGAGGGGGCGGGGAGTGGTGGGATCTACTACTAATCCTGACCCCTCACCCCCAAAAAGCTAAGAATTAACTGTAGGAGGAATAAAGGGAAGAAATGCCACTCTAGCGCTTCAGGGAAAATAAGGATTTCAGATACACGTGGTTCTCAAGCACAACAAAGAGAACCTCTGAGAGCTACATCCTCAACCCACTGTGTAGCTGGGGAAGGAGGCTGCTTCCCCCGAGCACCTTCTCTAAAAGCGACAGCTGTGAAGGACTTGCTGAGTATGTGGCATGAGGGTTCAGGTCATGATGCGATTAAGCAGTGTGTATAATGAGGACATTCTTGGCGACCATGGCAAGACAATGCTTCATTGTTTGGGACTGCACCATGTGTTGCAAGACATTTTAGCATCTCTGGCCCATGACCACTAAATACCAAGTCATGTGACAAATACCCCCCAACACACACACATACACACACGCATGCATTCATCTTTCTGGACGCCCCTGGGTGTGAAGCAGGGAGACATGTCTCATTAAAGCACCAGATGTCCGAGTCTTCGGTCCAGACACAGCATCAAGGGCCCCGTCTTTTTCGTGTGTCCATGCCCACAACCCAGCTCAGCTTTGTCCCCCGGGTACCCTCCACGAAATTAGAACTGACCTACCATGTCTCTCTTCAATAAACCGTTATATTTCTTTGCCAGGCTGTGGTCACTGGTTCCCTCCACCATCACAATACAATGTTTCTGAGATACCCTCATCAGACCCACCAAGCAAGACCCTCTGGCTCTTTGATATTGATCGGGACCCAGAAGAAAGACATGACCTGTCCAGGGAGTATCCCCATGTGGTCAAGCAGCTCCTTTCCCGGCTACAGTTCTACCACAAACACTCAGTGCCCGTGTTCTACCCAGATCAGGACCCCCGCTGTGACCCCAAGGGCACTGGGGCTTGGGGCCCTTGGATGTAGGATCTGGAGCAGCCTTGGGTGGGTCGCTAGAAAGCCTTTCTGTTGCAAGTTGGACTTCAGACTCTACTCGTGTGACTCATTTGTTCTCCCAATGGCTTCACCTGGTCCTTCTTTTGCCCCTAAACCACATTAACGTGGTTGTCTCATTTCAACCCCTTGTGCATTTAAGAAGACGATAAAATCTGGAACCCTCCCGCTGTGGGCTGGGGTGTGTGTGTCTAGAGGAGAGGGTGATTGGGTTCATCCTCTTTTTCTGGAGCCGTGGGTCAGCTGGGAACTTGATTTGAAATAGGAAGTTAGTGAGTCCTGGAGGCCAGAGCAGCTGGCTCCTTTTGCCTCACAAGTCAGATGTTAGGTTTCCCTCTGCCAATAGCCAGCTTTTATTGGCGTGACTCACATTTCTTGTAACAAATGAAGGGAGCAGACAATTGTTAATGGCTCTGTTGGCCAGGGGGTCTCCCTGTCTGGGAGAGATCATGTTCAGACGTTCCATGTGAATACGCGCCTTGGTCACCCTCGCTCACACACCTCATCACTCAGCCCGTCCTGGAGCATAAGGCCCATTTCACTGGTAAGGTCAGTATGGCAACATGCCTACTCCTTGGTTCTGCTTTTTACAATAAAGAACTGTGTTTTTAGCCCCAGCTTCCCCCCAGCCATTGCTCATTTTGTCTAGAATTCCTGCTACCCACAGATCCCCCCTGGTTTTTTCCTCCCCTTCCCTGTGACTCAGGCGTCCTGCGCCTGAGAAGGCTGCCTTGCTTCTCCACTCTGAGCACCACTGGTTTGGGGAACACTGAGCTCTGCCTTCCTTTCTCCCCTAACACCCAAGTGAGAGCCCTGCCAGGAAGGCGGCCCACCTGGCTCTGTGCGTTCATGGTAGACACGAAGAGGCCTGGGTGGGCAAGGCTTGGGTCTGGGTCATCTGTCTGGTGAGCACTTTTCTAGTTACATGGAGTTTATTATCATGACTATGGCTTTGTCTCATAATGTAGGATGAGTTACACTGACTGCTATTCCCCGGCAGTGAGGAAAAGCCCCAGGAAAGGGCACTATTGTTCGAGATGATGGAAGTGGGCAATTTAAAAAAGGAAATGGCCAGGATCTGGGATTCTGGGCCTTGAGAAAGCCAGGAGGGCACATCCACCTTTCTCTTACTCTCCCAGTCTCACTGCTTTTATTGAGGTTCTGGGGTGAGGGGCAGGATGCACAGTGTGACCTGGCAGCCCTTTTTCAGTCCCACTAATGTCCTACTGACATGCATCGGTCCAGATTAGCTCCAAAGAGTATCAGACTCAGAGAAATGTGTGCAAAAATTATACCCTTTTTTGCATTAGCTCCACTGTTTCATTTGCTGCTTATCACCCGTGCCTGGTACATAGAAGGCACTCAATACACTTTTTTTATTTTTTACAGAGAGGAAGGAGAAGAAGAGGGATAGAGAGTTAGAAACATCAATGAGAGAGAAACATCGATTCAGCTGCTTCCTGCACACTCCCTACTGGGGATGTGCCCACAATCAAGGTACATGCCCTTGGCCAGAATCAAACCTGGGACCCTTCAGTCCGCAGGCCGATGCTCTATCCACTGAGCCAAACCGGTCAGGGACTCAATACACTTTTAAAAAAATAAATGAGTGAATGAATGAGCAAATGGGAGAAAGTCTCACACCATGAAAGGTGGTAGTCCAATGAACTGAATACAGAGATAATATAAATATCTTCCAACCATTGATTTTCTGTTCTCAAGCTGCCTCCTTGGGTAGGAGCACAGGCTGCACATCTGGGCAGTCATTGGACACGCCATAGTAAAGTTGTAATGTCCGCTGGGGTAGGGGTGGAATGTGCCTGCCAAAGGTACTCTTCGTTTGCCAGTAATTCTCAGTTCTATCTATTCTTCATAGGACACTAGAAACAAAACCACCAACTAATATGCTAGGTTCCTTCCATTCAGTAGCTGTGTTTTCTGGTCGCTACCAACTTGGATTGTGTTAAAATAGGATGATTGGAAGGAAATGGTGCTAGAACTAATGACACCTATTACCAGCCTATTCCACACTCCTGGGTTGGCACACAGCCGGCCAAAATACTATTACCTCTCCCGAGCCTGTGGCAGATTTATGAACTAACTGAGCCCAGATATTCCTTCTGGATCCTTCTAATCCCAGCGCTATAGGTACCATTAATTCTTTAAGGTTGGAGGCATCGCTAGATGACCTCTTTTGCTCTCCCGGCAGCTGTCCCTGATTCTGGCTTCTTGGTTGCTGTGTACAGTGTGCACGTTCGGCACTCGGGATTTAAAGGGAATTTTAAAGATTAATTTTCTGTAACACTTTTATCTGAGATTTTATTTTATCCATAATAGACTGCATTAGATTTTTTTTCTGTACCAGACTGTGAATAGATTCATATGTTTTCATTAGAAGTATTAATGTCATTTCTTTTTAATTTGTTTGTTTAAAGAAAGGTTTTGTTTAACTGTTTTCCTCTGTTACTTCACAATTGTCCCACATATGGGGGAACAAAAAGAATAAATTATCTTTTAGAATGTGTCAGCCGTGAGTGTGGAATTTCGATTTGTACGATGAAAAATTTCTGGAACTAGATAGAGGTGATGGTTGCACAACATCATCAATGTACTTAATGCCTCTGGATTGTACATTTTAAAATGGTTAAAATGATAAATTTTAAGTTATTTCATTTTTATCCCAATTTTTTATTTTTATTTATTTTATTATTCTTTTAATATATTTTTATTGATTTCAGAGAGGAAGGGAGAGGGAGAGAAAGATAGAAACATCAATGATGAGAGAGAATCATTGATGAGCTGCCTCCTGCATGCCTCCTACTGGGGATGAGTCCGCACTTGGGCATGTGCCCTGGACCAGAATTGAACCCAGGACCCTTCAGTCCACAGGCTGAGGCTCTATCCACTAAGCCAAACCAGCAAGGGCTTATCCCAGTTTTTTAAATGTTTGGCCCGTTTTTATTCTTTCCCAATCAACTCTTAAACTTTAAAATCTGTTTTTTCTAATAGCTATCACTTGTGTAGGTTTGATTCCAGGCTGTTGAAAGACCAGCCTGCCCACCTGTGACCACCCTTACCAGTCGCTGAGAGCAGGTATGTTCAGTCAGTGTTGAGGTACCTGCCACAGCTCTTTCACCTTTGCTCCTTTGCCATAGGAGCCACCCATCAGGTGACACAAGGCAGAGGAGGATGACTCAGGCTGCCCTGGGCCCGGCCTCAGAACCTTGTGACCATCAGGAGAGGCGATTTCGTTCTCATACTAATTCTCCCAACTAATCAATCATTGAGCATAAGGTATTTCATTTAATAACCTTTGTCATTCTAACAATAGAGATAATAATGTCTCTAACAATTTTTAAAAATACAGAACACTATAAAAGAAAATTAAACACTTCGTAAGCTACCCCCCAGATAGCCACTATAAACCTCTTATACCCTTTTAAGAGAAGAATGAAGTGGCCCACTTTCCAGACTGGTTTTCATATCCCACTGTGCCCAGCTGAGCCCTCATTGGAGACTCAAGATGGTAGATAAATAAAATCTCACCTCTTCTGGAAATCTTCATTTTAATCCCATTATTAAACATGGATGTCCCCAGGATTTTTACTCCAAGGGCTCATGGTTTCACATACACTCTCGCACACATTCTCTCCCTTCCTTGCTCCCTCTCCTCCATGGGCCTCAAGACCGAGCCTGGGCACTGAGGAGCCAGCTTGCAAGCAAGCCAGTAAGCAGGAACCTGCCTCTTGTTCACATCACACCAGAACCTTGCAGAGCAGGGCAGAGTCGATACACACACTCCTCCCCTCCTTGGTAAACAGGACTTATTGTGCTTTTATTTACGTTAAATAAATCGAAGCTGGGGTTTGCCCTCTCGGCAATCGTTTTGTAGCCAAGATCTTTCTAGTGCATTCTGCATTGGAGGCAAGGACGGGCAGCTGTGCAGTAAGGGGAGGAGGGTGCATGGGATCAGACCCTGCTCCCAGAGGCTCACCCACCAGGGATTTCAGCAGACAGGAGGTCCCCGGACAAGGCAGAAGGGAGGTGGAGAGGCTCAGAAGTCGAGGAACTGCAGCCTGAAGATCCACAGAGGAATGTGTTTACCTCAAATTTTGCTTTTTATTGTTTACACCCATGAGGCTAGTGAGTTCTTTCTGCATAAACTGTTTGCAGTTAAAGCCTTTGATTAGAGTAGTGGTTCTCAACCTTGGCTACACATTAGAATCACCTGGGAATCTTTTTAAAATCCTGATTTCTGGGCCCCATCCTCCGGAAATTCTGTTTCTTTGTTATGGGGTGGGGCCACAACATTAGTAACAAAGAAACAGAATTTCTGGAGGATGAGGCCCAGAAATCAGGATTTTAAAAAGATTCCCAGGTGATTCTAATGTGCAGCCAAGGCTGAGAACCACTGGCTTAGAGGCTACACTGATGGTGTGTGGGAAGCAGCTGTATGGTGTGGACATGTTACTTGGGCTTCACTAAGGTAGCTGTGTTTTCTTGATCTTAAGCCAGCGCTTGAATGCAAGTGCTTGGGTTTAAGGCGTTACAGGTGGTGGATGGATGTGGGCCACATCCAGGACTCCAGGCCGAGGTGCAGGCCCCTCTGAGTGGGACCTGCATGTGTTCTGTCACTGGGGTTCACAGGTCCTTCTTTCCCCCCAAAAGCTGGTCCCACTCCCTAGGCAGCCAGGGCCAGGAGGACGCCCCAGCCATCCCACAGCTCCGCAGGCCCTCTAGCTGCCAGAGGACATTGACATTCTCTGCAGGAATAAGTAATTTTAAGGGATGCCGTTCTATCACCTCAGTGAGGGGAAAACTAGTATCATTATAATCATAAAAATACAGTAACTCCAAATTGCTCCTGAGTTTGAGCTAAGAACTATTCCTGACCTGGAAGGAAAGGAAAAATTTTAAGAGTGAGTCAATTTGTCACTAAATGATTTATTACCGCCAGTGCAGCGCTGTGTCTTGGCAACACTGGGGTGGAGATAAGGAAACCCCCTCAGGGCACATGGTCAGTATGTGCTGGGTGGTGCCTCAGGTGACTGGTGACTTCACTCAGCAATCTGATCTGAGTCTGTCCCCATCTGATCTGCCTCTGTCCCCTGCGGGGCTGTTTCCTCCAGGAACCATAGCTGCACTTGTCCCTGAACAGTGTGTTTGTTCATGTACCTGCAGACCTCAAACCTAGGGACGCATCCAAAATGCTTTAAATGTATAAACACAAGAGGAAGCCGACACCATCTTGGGCAGTGCAGTGCGGTGGGAAAATAGCACAGGATCCCACCAAAGGAAGAAGCAGGAAAGTCAACAAACAAGCTGGTGGAGATGCAACGTGTAGAGAATAAATGTTTTGAAGAAAGAAACACTGAGAGGGGGAGCACGGAGTTTCCACTGAATCTTTTTTTTTAAATATATTTTTATTGATTTCAGAGAGGAAGGGAGAGAGAATCATTGATTGGCTGCCTCCTCCACGGCCCCCACTGGGGACACAGCCGGCAACCCGGGCATGTGCCCTTGACTGGAATCGAACTCGGGACCCTTCAGTCCGCAGGCTGATGCTCTATCCACTGAACCAAACCAGGCAAGGCTCCGCTGAATCTTAAATTCCAGG